CTCGCTTATGTCCAGGCTGGATTTTGCCCTATGTGCTGAGAAGCTGGTTCTTTGGAGTTTAGAGCCAGCCAGCATGTCTGGGATCGTTGTTACTCACCTGGACACTCTGAGACAGGGTTTCTAATGAGTGTGTGGGCACGTGCATCTGTGTGTGTGGGTGTGAGAGAGAGAGAATGTGCCTGGCAAGCGTGTGCCCACTGCGCAATGTGCAGACTCAAGCAGGGACCCTGTATACAACCAGGTATGCACAAAAGTTTGCAGGCACTATTGAAAATTCAAGCCTCTGGGGCACTCTCTCGAGAGGCAGGGCAGATCCTGAACCCGAGGACCTCAGCACAAGACTCTTCCACCTGCAGGAATGGAGCAGCTCCACAGTCGGGAATTCTTCAACAAGCATTTGTTAGCCGGAAAAGGGCAATTTGTCGGAACCGAATCTTTTCCTGGGCAAGGGTCAGCTCTGACCACTCCCCCAGTATGATTTTTTTTTTCAAGTTTCAAAATTGTTGAAACGTCCCATTTTGAAACCCATTTTTAGGATCCAAAATGATTTTTTGTTTCACAATGAAATTTAATTTATAGTTAAAAAAAAAGAAGTAAAGGGTGGAAAAGGAAATTAAACACTTGGATGGAGATTTGGGGTGGGGAGGGGGGGTTGTTTCTGGATGGGAAACACTTCAAAATCTTGAAAATCCTCCTGGGACAGGAATAGTATCTCCCCTAGCACTCCCCATTACTTGGGCGGAGCAGTAAACTCTTCTCATTCTATGCAGGCAAAACCCCCTGCTGTGGTAGGGTAAGTTACAGGTCATCTTTGCTGCTGGGAGGGAAGCTTACAAATCTGGAATAGCAACCAACTGGACCTCTTATTATTAAAATTTCTGGGGACTGAGCTCCTTGAAACAAGGGCTGAGTACCTCTTGGCTACAACCACACATTAGTGTGTGAGCTCTGGTAATATGCCTACATATTGACCCAGCACCCTGCTATTTTATCCAAATCCCCCGACCAGTCACATCCCAGATGTGGGTTACGTGGTATCCGTGTTACGTGACTTTGGGAGAAGGAGAAGTAGCCACTGGAGACTGGATTGACACAGCAGCTTGGACATCTTTGAACACTGTCATTTCAGTCATGGAGCTAATTGGAGGTGCCGGCGTTCAAGCCGGGGTGCAGACAAGCCCTTATTCTTAGCCAGTGAGGTGCTAGGGAAGAGGTTTTGTTGGCACTTTGAATCACTACAGTGAAAATCTTCTGTGCAAGTGTAACCCACTCTCGAGTGCATGTTACCAGGTGGCCTCTCTGTGCCTCATTTGCAGAGGATGTGAGTCTGTTACTGCCCTCGTTGGAGTGGCTTGGCTCTTTCTCTCAAGCTGTAGCCACTCACACTACACTCTGGAGGTCCCTGGCTCACTCCATGATGTGTCAGCCAAGAAGGTGGCCAGGCTGTCATACAAGCCCATCAGTTCCATGATGGCTGGGGAGACTTCCCCATTGTGAAAAATCAAGCTGACATCCATACCTAGGGAGGTGGTAGAATCTCCTTCCTTAGAGGTTTTTAAGGTCAGGCTTGACAAAGCCCTGGCTGGGATGATTTAACTGGGAATTGGTCCTGCTTTGAGCAGGGGGTTGTGGAAAAATGTGGAAAAATTGGAAAGAGTCCAGCGGAGGGCAACAAAAATGATTAGGGGTCTGGAACACATGACTTATGAGGAGAGGCTGAGGGAACTGGGATTGTTTAGTCTGTGGAAGAGAAGAATGAGGGGGGATTTGATAGCTGCTTTCAACTACCTGAGAGGGGATTCCAAAGATGAAGTATCTAGACTGTTCTCAGTGGTAGCTGATGACAGCACAAGGAGTAATGGTCTCAAGTTGCAGTGGGGAAGATTTCGGTTGGATATTTAGGAAAAACTTTTTCACTTGGAGGGTGGTGAAACACTGGAATGCGTTACCTACGGAGGTGGTGGAATCTCCTTCCTTACATATTTTTAAGGTCAGGCTTGACAAGGCCCTGGCTGGGATGATTTAGTTGGGGATTGGTCCTGCTTTAAGCAGGGGCTTGGACTAGATGACCTCCTGAGGTCCCTTCCAACCCTGATATTCTATGATTCTATGATTCTATGATGGTGTGAGAGCGACCCACACAGCAACTTACTCCCACATCTTTGTGGTCTCACGCCCCAGGAGCTCCCAGCTCTTTTTGCTTCCTCCCTTCACTTCACTTCCCTCCCTCCCTTCAGCTCTTAAAGGGTCTCAGATACATTCCTTATTTTTCCCTACGTGCCTACAGCTGGTGAAACTGAGGCAACCCATTGAAGTGACTCCCCCTTTGTCAGTGGCACAGTTGTTAAGAATCAGGAATGGCAAGGGCTGGTTTCCTGCTCTAGCCACGAGCCTTACTCCCTCGCCTTCATTCTCCTTGCGTTGCGCAAGCAGCAGATGTTTCAGGGCAGTTCCAGAAGCTGGAGGAATCAGCTGCTCTTTGAATGTGTCGGGTTCCTTTTGTTCCTTTCGCCTGCGGGGAGGGCTACCCTGAAGATAATGGGAGCAGCAGCCAGGTCCTGCTTGGCTTGAGATTGACAGGATACAGGGCTGCACACCCATAAATGCAGAAGTCCCATCTGCCAGCCAGGGAATGTCCCGAGCTGCACCAGGTGGCACATGGCACTGACAGGATGTAGTGAAGGAACTGGAGTTACCAGCTTGCCACACCTTAGAGCAATTACAGCTCCCTGACAAACCCAGAGTGATCTATGCCTGCTCCCCCTACTAACGCCCAGAGACAGCTGCTTTCCCAGGTTCATTTCCTAGCTCTTTGCCGGTGACTGTACTTGATGCTCATGCAAATCAGGCGAGTTAACTCCGTCAGTGCCAAATATGTATGTGACAGGCTCCCAAGACAGGGTAATACAAATGTTACTCCTTGCTATCTGCATTTAATTCCTGTTGATGGGAATGGAATTTAGAAGCTCATATCGAGTGGTCCAGGGTCGCCGTGTGCGGTTTGATTTGATGTCAGGTAGCAGAATGCAATAATAATTAAGAGCTTATATTTATACATATAGCAATTTTCCTCCTGAGAGATCAGGAAGCACCTTGCAAACTGCACAGAAATCACTTTAATAATAAATTGTCCTAATAATACTTTTCCCGCTGCTGAAATGCAGCTGGTTCTGGCGTGGAATGCTGCAGTTTTCTGCAGCACATAAAACCAGCACACAGCCGTTTAAGGCAGGATGTATGGCCCTGCTGTGGAGAACAGTGCCCGGGGATCTTTAATGACTGCAGGTGGCTAGGCCCTCAGGTTTGTGTCTCATTAACTTGGGTGATTTGCCAACAAGACTCTGCTTATGAAGGGCTTGAAAGAAAATTTGCTTATCTAAATAACAGGTCCTGGACTCTCGTTCAATTCAACTCTCTGTTCTCTTCGTGCACCAGGAGGCACTGTGCCATGTATGAATACGTGCCAGCGGCACTCAGGGGTACATTTTTATTTCACCTGCCAGTTATTTGAAAAAAGAAGTTGATGGAGTTTATCTTGAAAAAAAGGAAAAAAAAAAAGCTAAATTTGGGTCCCAGAGCCGGTGTGGCTGTTTTAAATATGCACTCTGCAGCTTTCGGGACCCTGAGCCTGATCCAACTCCTGTAGAATGGAAAGGCCAACCACAAGCATTCCAAAATCACTTCAGCCCCCCTTCCCCCAACAAATAAGCTTGTCTTTAAAATCATGAATTTAAAAAAAATAATAACTCTTGGGTTCTTTTTATTTTCCTTCTAATTTTTGAGCCTATAAATCACCCTTGGGTCATGTTTTCAAGCTTTTCTCTGCAGCCACGATGGCGGGAAATGTCCTCTTTTTATAATAACTGCTGCTGTTCTCACTTAATCTCGGGACTCCAGCAGCTGGGGATAGAATCATGAGTGTTGACGATGTCACTTCAACAGCAGTCGGAACTAGGGTTGCCAACCCTCCCGGTTTCACCAGGGGTCTCCCAGAATCAGGTCCTATTTCCCGGAGGCTACTGAAGCTAATCCATGAGATTTTTAGGCCACTAAAAGTCCGGCAGTGCAGCAGGGCTAAGACAGGCTCCCTGCCTGCCCTGGCTCTGCGCTGCTCCCAGAAGCAGCCTGCACATCCCTGCGGCCCCTGGGGAGGCAGGGGGTCTCTGCGCACTGCCCCAGCACTGACTCCGCAGCTCCCATTGGCTGTGAACTGCGGCCAATGGGAGCTGCAGGGGCAGTGCCTGTCAGGGAGCCTGCCTTAGCCCCGCAGCACCGTCAACCGGGAGCCTCCCGAAGTAAGCAGCTCCCTGCCACAGCCCACACCCCGACCCCTCCTGCCCCAGCCCTGAGCCCCCTCCCACACCCAACCTCCCTCCCAGAGCCTGTACCCCGCACCCCCACCTGCACCCCAACCCCCTGCCCCAGCCCAGAGCCCCCTCCTGCCCCAAACTCCCTCCCAGAGCCCGCACCCCTGCAAACAACTGCAGCGTGTTTGGTTTTGTGTGATTAGACAATTGGCAACCCTAGCCAGAACAGGCCCTGTACAATTTATTCTTTGTATTGTGATGGAACCTCAGAGTGCAGAAAGTTGGCCCCTACCCCAGTCTAAGTATGTTGTGGGAAGATCTAGTCCCAGCATGTTGTAGGTTCAATTATATTTCCCCAGCCCATATTCTCGGAGTGATTCCTGTTTGGTACCCATCAAAATAAACGTGACATCCTAAATCCATTTATTCGTTAATTCAAGGTCTTTCAAGTCCCTTTAATCCTGATTCCCTGAACTCGCTTATCTGAGCCACCTTCCAGACCCTGTGAGGGTTTGCCCATCCTTAGCTTGGCATATTACAAGGCAGGACTGAGATGACCGGCTCAGTACAGGATGCCGATGTATGCTGCAGGCAGGGATCCACCAATTGCCCGTGTGCCAACAGTGTTATCTGCCACCCTGTGTTTCTCGATCTCCCCCACTGACACTCTCCCAACCCTGTTAATTATTAAAGGAGAATAATGAAGGAAAACACACATCAAAGTCCAGTGTGAGAGAGAGACAATCAGCAGTTCATTTGCAGCCATGAGCCAGCCCACCCCGGCCACCACAGAGCCACCTGGCCAGCCTGGACAGAGGAACCTTACCTTCGAGGTTGTGGACATCATTGTTGTCATCATTTATTTTGTCTTCGTCCTTGCCGTTGGGATATGGGTGAGTCCGGGAGCTCAATGATTTGCTTCCATTAGGGGACAGAAGACAAGCAGTATGTGTAATCAGCTATGGGCCTCGTGTGTGTGCAAAGATATCTGCTTATAATCAGCCTGCTGTTTTATATGTACATAGCACTTATGTAGGGCCAGATAGTAGCAGGACTTGACTGGTATGCTAGGGCGTTGAGAGTAGGAACATTTTCCCCTACACTCCCAGGCAGCTCTGATTCCATTCCCTGCAATCCCCTGAACGGCATTGAGGAAAGGTTAGTGCCACCAGAATTGCAAAGTATCCCATAATGGACTGGGGAGAAGGGGTGAGGCTCCCCATGGAATGGCTGCAGAATGGCGAGCTGGGAGACTTGCCTGGCGTAAGAGGGGGAATGAAGAGAAAAGGACTGAATCGGGCATTGGAAAATTTGTAAAGATGATTATTTGATCCCTATTTTCTTTGACCCAGCCTACTTGGAAGAGTGACCTAGCGGCCTGGCTGGGGAAGTCTTTTTGTACTCCTCACATGTGCACTCACTGGGAGATTGTTAAATGGATTCAGAAGCCCCATCACCCAGTCAGAGGGTAGCTTCTATCCAAGCCGGCAGCCAGCATACATAGGAATGGGGAGAAGGAAAATGGAAAACGTAGGCCTTCACTCCGCACCCCCAGTCTCAGGTTCCCCATGCATCTGCTGCAAGCAGGACCAAACCTTTTGACTCCTCTGAGTGGCAATGCTGCTCCATATCCTGGGTACCAAGATGCAGACGAGGTTGCCGCACAAATCAGAGCGGAGCAACAACTCACTGCTGGTTGGTAACTTCTGGGTACAATGTCCTGACAAACCAAGGGGCTTTCCGACTTGCAAAGTAACAAGCAGGCCTCCAGCTCAGAAACCAATGAGGCTTGTTAGCTCAGGCTAGTGTTAATAATGAGCTAACAGGAAGCATTCCCCTTCTCACTGGCCAGAAGCGTTGGCTGGGAACATGCAGGGGACAAGCTGTACGTTTCCTGGGAAGCTCGGGAAGGATTGGTCTTCCTAAGGCTCAGTTCCACTCAGAGTTCCCCCTAGAATGAGGTAACTCTTCAGTGCCCCAGTGCAATCCCATGTGCACTATGTAATACGCAGTCTGGGGTCTCCGACAAGGTGATCTCTCCGACGTCCCAGGAATGGATGGGCTACAGCCGGAGGTTTCACCCCGCTGGACGGTACTGGAGCACTGTGCATTATTCCCCTGTTTTAACTGCACCTTGAGCGTCTGCCAAATGGTTTATTGAATCCTCCAGAAGCCAAAGCACTGGATGGCCTGGACACGGAGAGGTAGTCAATTCTAGCAGTTGCTGGGAGGGCAGACCTGGGATGACTCCCAGCATGTTGCTGGCAGGACGACTGGAGAGCGGGGCCAGTGTGATGGACGGGAACCCGTGGGGGGGAAGCACTTAATGTTTGTTCTGTTTTTCAGTCATCCATACGGGCAAGCCGGGGGACAGTTGGAGGGTATTTCCTGGCTGGACGGTCCATGACATGGTTGCCTGTGAGTCTGATGCTTCCACTTGTTACTTAAAAATTGGGTTTCAAGCGAATCCAGGTATCTGATAGAAAAGTCTGGGGACAGGCACAGCAAGGCGGTACCCACCCCACACAGCTCTGCCCAGGAGTCTCAGCCCTGAGCTACAGGGACCCCCAACCACAAAGTACCCTCCCCCCACAGCTCTGCCCAGGAGCCTAAGCCCTGAGCTACAGAGACCCCTACTTGGAGAAAACAGACAGTTCAGTCTCTCTGGTCTTTTCAATTCTTAGCTTTTTTGCTCAGGTCAGAGGCAAGGGGATATCTGGTGATGTGGCTTCTGTGATGCAGCCCCAGCTGCCCATGAGGAGCTGGATTTAGATCCTCCCCCTGTTCCCAACTCACTTCACATACAGCTGCAGAACAGCCGTGGGAGCATTAAATGACTCAGGTCTGCATGATGCCGTAAAAATCATGTAGAAACTACAAAGAAAACAATCGTATAGCAGAGCCCTTTGCCTCTACCCTCCCCGGGTGGGGGAAAGTCTACGCTATTGACTGTGCGAGGAATAAAACTTGGCTCCAAACCACAAAAATACAAATCTCCAAAATGATTCACGAGAAAGGAACAAAGCTCTTAAAGGGCACGCTTTTGTGGGAACGAAAGGTACACCTAAAAGTTATTTAAAAGTTTTAAAAGAATAAAGGTGTCACAGGAATAAATAATCTTTTCCTCCAATTGCAAAATATACAGCCATATCTCTCTCTAGTGAGTCGCTGGTATCGGAATACAGTTTTCAACCAAAAACTTCTTTCTCTGTGTATACAGTGCCCATAAATCCTCTAGGCTATGTTTTCAACCTCTTCTCTTGGAGAGGCGTACGTATATATAACAACTGTCATTGCTTTCATGTGCTCTGTGCTCCAAATTCTCCCAGGTGACGTTTAGGGAAAAGCGTAGGGGGTGTTTTTGTGACTAGAGCGTGGAAGGTTTAAAAGATGTTGAAAGGAAACTGGCTTTTCCCAGGATCCTTACTGTTCTTATTTCTCATTGTGTCTGGTGGCTCGGCTCACTCCAGGAGCTAATATGGCCAAGTGGTTAGAACACATGAGTGGGTGCTAGGAGGGCTGGGTTCCAGCCTTGGATCTCCTACTGATTCACTATCTGGCAAGTTGCTTAGATCAAAAGCAGCCTCTGAGTTTGCCTGCTTCTGTTTTCCGGGCCCAACTTGAGATACTTTGAGCTTGATTCTCAGAGGCGCTGAGCCCCACTTGAGTCCAGGTGTGACTGTTTTAATACTGACACCTGAGGAAACATATGATGCAACATGGCAGGAGGTCTGCTCTGCTGCTGAAGGTGCTGTCCTCTGACCACTTTTGATAACTGAAGCATCCCGGCACTCTCTGCAGGAGTTGGGAGGTTAACCCCAGAGTCCCAGGTAAATTCCAGTTTGGGTGGCAACATTCTGGCAACTTCAGGGTTTCAGCTTTGAGCAATAACACCCTAAAGGGTTTGGTCATGAGAGATGGTCTCCAGGGCAGGCCTCTCATGTGATATCACAGCAGCTGAGATCAGCTGAGGTGCCAATAGACCCTCCCGTTTAACCAAAAGGGTTGGCCAAACCGCATTTCCACCTAATGACCCCCCCAACTTTGGAACTAATCTCCCCTCCTGATCTGACAGAGCCCATATTTGTTTACAGTATTTCCATCCCATAGCCAACAGCCTGAAGGTGGAAGAAAAATGGCAAACAACCCAAAGTGAGGCTCCTAAATCCAGATTCAGGCACTTAAATCAATGTGGCCTTTCAGAGGCTTAGAGGCCCTGAAGTTCCCATTGACTGAGGTGCGAGCTTCAGCTACCCTGAAGGTCAAGTCTCATTTATTTAGCTGTCTAAGCATGGCCTTAGGAGCCTGATGGTAGGAAGCCAGATTTGAAGATTTTGGCCTATAGCTTTTGTTCTCTTCCACCAATGTAAACCAGGAGTAACTCCAGTGAAGCCTGCAGTCCTCTCTGTGTAAAAACCACTCTCAGTGAAGGCAGTCAGACCCACAGAACCTGCCTTTCCTCTATCACTGATTCCAACCCCCGCCCCATGTATCTCCATTGAGTTTGATGATGTTACTCATGATTTTACATTAGTGTAACAGAGGGCATGATCCCTCTCCCACTGAAGTTTTTCTCCATTGACTTTAATGGGAGCTGGAGTGGGGTCTGAGGATAAACAAGGGGTGGGCAAACTACAGCCCACTGGCCCCATCCTGCCCTCCATCTGATTTAATCTGGCCCTTGAGTTCCTGCTGGGGAGCAGTGTCTGGGGCTTGCCCCGCTCCAGCTGGGAGTAGGGTCGGGGGCCACTTCGCACGCGCATGCCGCAGCTCCCGGAAGTAGCGGCATGTGCCAGGAACTATGGCCAATGGGAGCTGCAGGGGTGGTGTCTGCAGATGGGGCAGTGCACAGAGCTGCCTGGCTGTGCCTCTGCATAGGAGCTGGCGGGGGGACATGCCACTGTTTCTGGGAGCTGCTGGAGAAAAGCGCCGCCTGGAGCCTGCACCCCTAGCTCCCTGCCGTGCCCCAAACCCTGCCCCAGCCCTGATCCCCCTCCTGTGCCCTGAATTCCTCAGTCCCAGCCCAGAGCACCCTCCTGCACCCCAAACCCCTCATCCCCAGCCCCACCCCAGAGCCTACAGCCAGAGCCCTCACCCCCCCGCACCCCAACCCCCTGCCCCAGCCTGGAGCCCCCTCCTGTACCCTGAACTCCTCAGTTCTGGTCCCACCCCAGAGCCCGCACCCCCAACCACAGCCCTCACCCCCTCCTGCACCCCAACCCAAATTTCGTGAGCATTCATGGCCTGCCATACAATTTCTATTCCCAGATGTGGCCCTCGGGCCAAAAAGTTTGTCCACCCCTGGGATAAGCCGTAGGGTAAATACAGTGGCGACAAGGGTCAAATGGGCACCCTCCCCATGGTCTCGTGATGGGCCGTGGAACCGCAGACAACCATTTCCAGGGCTTCAGGATTATTTTTCTTGGAGCATCTGTGTCTTCCTGTGAGTTGGACACACGCACTACCAGAATAAATAACAGGGCCACTGTCTCACTGCTCTACATCTTCTGTGTTTCTTACATCGGTGTCCGATACAGTCGGATGTGTGGATTAGAGAAGGTATTTACGTTCCTTGGGAATCAGTATATTTACCCAAGATACAATTTCACGTTACACCAGTCAGCCTTTTAATCGGCAGTTTACTATATGGAGAAGCAGGGCAGTGTTCGTTCTGGCCACGGCTTCCGGCTTCATGCAATATTAATATTTTAACTTTCTCAGAAGGTGAGGGGCAGGTCAAACTCTATTACTCTTTGCTCAGAGCTCATATTAGGAATCTGCTGTTCAGACAAGGTGTGGTTGGAAAGCAAACTTTCCGCAGGAGGGAAGCCAAAGCTTTGGCAATGCACGGCCAGATTTATCCCTGGTGTATCTCCACTGATGTCAGTGGCCACCTGGGATGAATTCGGCCTGTGTAGAGGTGTGGCAAGTCTTTGTCCCAAAGGAGAGTGATACTTAAAGCCAGGGGTGCTTTATTCTATGGGAAGAGCAGCGTATCCTGCTTTCATCTAGTTAAGGGATCACTGGACCATGCTAGGGGCAGTGTTAAATTAACCTGAGGTGTTAGCATTTTCCAGACTGCTGCAGTTTTCCATCTATATGTGTTTGAACCCACATTTATGCATGGGTTGCAGCCTTCCCAGGGTCACACATTCTTTAAGATCCATGCAACATTCTTTCCATGCAAGTGTTTCTTGAACCACGCAAGATCCGGGCTTGGAGTGTAAATATTTGCCTATAGAAAGGTACTGGATTCTCTCAGGTTATAAATGCAAAAGTCCTTTTTTCTTTTTTTCTTTTTGCAAGCCTTCACTTCCTGGCTACCCCAGTGGGAATACTGGCATGATAACTACTCAGGGGGCAACATTGTTCCCATTGAAATCAGTGGGAGTTTTGCCGTTCAATTCCATGTAGACAGGATTTCACCTCCATTCCTACTTGGTCAGAAGTCCATTGGCTTTTTCCGGAGGAAAAACTAAGGCCCAGATGATCCTCAGCTGCCCCATAGATGGAGGGCACACTGTAGGTGAGGCTCCTCTGCTTTCCTTCAGCCACATCCCAGCTGCCATCTCCTCCCTAACCCCATCCTAGACCCTGCAATGGCGTCTCCATGGGTTTGGGGGCCATACAGGGACGGGGTGGAGATGGAGGGGACCCGTGAGGAGGTTACACATAATGTCATCCCTCTAATCCCTTGGAGTTTAAGGCTGAAACTGTGTCATCTCAGCATGGTTCCCTCTGGGGCACAATGGGGACACTCTGTTGTTTCAGCTCTGATAGATCCATGTGGCCAGGAAGCTGGGGTGGGGCACAAGGCCCAATGCAGAGGCTCAGGGCCTGCTCCCAAGAGAGATGCTAGGTTTGGGGACAGGTCTTCACAGACTGCTGGGTGGGGATAAGGGTGGGGGGAAGAGAAATGCTGTGGGAGGTGGGGTTTCTGTGTGGGGATCCTCACAAAGATTTCCTCCCTCCCAATCCCCTGTGTAGATCTGACCAGGGCAGGGGGCTCTGGGCCTGTAAGGACATCAGAGTTTGGCCCACCGGGAGAAAGGGGGTTGGTCTCACAGTATTTCCAGAGGAAAGTGCCAAATGCCTGCACCCCCTGACTTTGTGAGATTCTGAGAGCAGGGAGATTTGAATAAGGTCTGCCCACAAGCCCCTCCCTTTTCACCCCGCGTATCCAAGCGTCCTGCGTTTCATCGATCTTTGTCAAACATGAGCCTTTCTGCTAACAAAGGGTGACGAAAGGAACAGAACTTAAAGGAGCCCCAGGGGCACGGTGTCTGCTATCACCAGCCAGGGCCCCAGCTGCGAGGGAGTGTTTGATTTGCATAACCTCTGCTGAATGGACATTTTTATAACTGCCCCTCCGGTTATCTTGCTGAGCCGCACGGACAGCAGCCAATAAGACAGCCCAGGGAGGTCGAGCGGCGCTGCCCTGCAGATGTGGTATCAGCCCAACACCTGCTAACGTGACAGGCACTCACAAATGTGGGCAGTTCTGCATCCATCACTCCCGTTGGGTTGCATTTCAATGGGGCACCTCGCGAATAGGAGGAGCAGAGTCACGCCCTGGGCATAAGCATGAGGAGTGATCACATGAGGCTACATTGCACATGGTGCATTTATGTCACACTTTGAAGCTGAAAGTGCTTTACAAACCAGCAGCTAAACTCAAACGCTGATCACACATGGAGGGGGCCTTCCCTCCCTGTAGGGCATCTCAGACACTGCCATGGTGCCAGCCCGTTCCCCAGACATTGCAACTAGCCCCTCTGCTAGTCTGGGAGGCGGGACCTGCACAGTGGGTGGGGACTGAATAGACCAAGGGAGGTGTAGGTGGAGTTTAAGGATGCATATTGCTCTCTCACATGCACTTCCCCACCCCAAGCTTGCAGACCTCATCCAGAAAACATGCCACCACCTGGAGCTGCATTCATTCTTCCCTGGGGACTCTGCTGTGGTTGGGGATCCCCCTTTAGAGGTGAACCGAGGGCACCCCTGTTAACACGACTCCATCTCACCCACTTTGTCAGGGTGGCACATAGGGCAACAGCTGCAGCAGAGGAAGGGGATCTCCAGTGGGAGGGAGCCCAAGGGAGCAACAGCGTCTGGGGCGGGTCCCGCAGCCTGCATCGATACTCTGGGGGCAAAGCAATAAATGTGTGGGGAGATTCCTTGCACTTCATGGAATACCCATAGATTGGAATAAGCCATAAAGAGGGTCCGCAATAATGTACATGTTTACAATACATAAACTTAAAAGGGAACAAGAGCTTGTTTTAAATGGGCCCCATCCTGAATCTGTGCTCGGACCTTATCCATCTATTTACCTATGTAACTGCTGTGGTATCCCTCACTGGTGTATCTGAGCTCCTCGGAATTCACGAAGACAACTCCGCCGTGGTGTCTGTCGAAGGGAAAACTCCCACTGAAGTCAGTGACTGAATGAAAACTGACTGGATGAGGGCCGGCACCAGGGGGCAGACTCACATATGGTAGAGTACTTTAAGAAGTCAAAGCACGGTATCCTTTAAAAAAAAAATCCATCAGACAGCAGCTCCGACGTGACAGCAGGATGGGCCATAGGGAAGTGCTTTATGTTGCTTAGAAACGACTTGCAATGACTCTCTGCATTCTCTGCCTGTGCGGTGTCTTCCAGATTGGAGCCTCCCTGATGTCAAGCAACGTGGGCAGTGGCTTGTTCATCGGCCTAGCAGGTACAGGAGCAGCTGGGGGCCTCGCCGTCGGGGGCTTTGAGTGGAATGTAAGAATCCAGGCTGCCCTGGAGTTACAGTTTACAAGGGGACGGGGTGTGGGTTCCATGAATCTGTTATTAACAGTATTGTCACACCCCCCGCTTTCCCGTGCTCACAACTCCTGAATCAGGCCCCCTAAAAATCACGAGATTGTCTTAAAAATCACGAGACTTAAAATATGTAAATGTTGTGGTTCTTTTTCTTTAAACTGCTGCTTACTGAACCTTCAGGGAGCTCCCAAGTTATGTTTTTAGGCTGTGCTTTGCAGCCATGAAGGCTAAATAAAAGTTGAAATTCTCACATAGCTACAGGATTCCAGGACCTGGGGCTTTAGGGAAAACAACACATCTCGCAAACGTAGGGTTGCCAACATTGTATTTTAAAATAAGGGACTGTGTTCTTAGCACCCCCTCCCCACCCTTCCTCCTGATATTATTGTTTTTTATTATAATTAATAATAAGCAGTACTTGCCTACATTTGCCAGGGGTATTTATTCCTGCTTTTTGCAGTGCTCAGCAACTCCCAATCTTGTTGTACAGAGATGAAAAAATAAGGGACATCCCTTGTAACAAGGCAGTAATTCTCATCCAGGCCACGAGCAGGTTTTAGTGGGCCACCAAGCAGGGCTGATATTAGACTCACTGGGGCCCAGGGCAAAAAGTGAAAGCCCCACCATGCAGAGCTGAAGTCTGGGCCCCCGCTGAAGTCTGAGGCCCCTCAAAGCCTGAGCATCTTAGTTTCACGTGGCCCCCTGTGGTGTGGGGCCGCAGGCAATTGCCCTGCTTACTAATCCATAACACTGGCTTTTATATGCAGAAAACCAGTTGTGGCACAGGTGGGCTGTGGAGTTTTTATAGCACGTTGCGGGGGGCCTCAGAAAGAAAAAGGTTGCGAACCCCTGTAATAAGGGACTGTTGGCAGCCCTACACACCCACACAACCCTACACACCCCATAAAACCACAAGAGCTAGCAACACTGTAATAACATTTCAGGTTCCAAAATGTGTGTTTCTGTGTTCAACAACTGGGTGTGAATTGGGGCCTATTGAAATCAATTGGAGGTTAGCCGCTGACCCTTCTAAGAGCATGAATACGAGGTGTAGCATGTACAACTCAAGAGGAATTACTAGCTGCACCGGCTAGGAGTGAGTCTGGTGCTAGCTTTCCTGCAATACTCATCAATCTGATAACTCGGAATCTCTGCTGTTCCATTCCAAGGCCTCCCTTGAGCAGAGCCTGGTAATGGTGCCAATTTATCCCCAAGGGGCAAGTAGGAATCCACCCAAGATCAGTTTTCTTGTATATATTTTCGCTGCAGCTGGTATTTTCAAGGCGCCTACGGGAATTGGGATTTGGGTCCCGTTGCGAATTCCAATTTGCACTAACAAGCCCTTTCAGGAGAACATGGCGTCTAAGTGCAGGCCAGTGCACCGTCAGACATATCGATATATTTTGATGACCATGGAGAGCAAACGTGACTCCACTCATTGTAACTTCTCCATTTTGGCCTGGGCTGGATTTTGGAGCAGCAGAGTGTGATGGGAGAGAGAAGACTTTAAACTCCCAAAAGACACTTCATCCAAACCAAATAATTCATGTCATGCTGGATCTGCATTGCCACTGGTTTTACCATGTGCAGGCGCAAATCCAGTTCAATCACACAGAAAGTTGTCCAAAAGTCCATCAGAGTCTTTCTGTTGCTTCTCTTTCTGCTGCTCAGAGAGATTCTGTTCATTCAGCGTCCTCATCTGCTAACCAAGTCATACCGTCCTGCAAAAATCAAGAGATGCTCAAAGGCTTCTCTGAAGCCGGGAGCCTGAAGGTCAGTTAGACCCAGATCCTCAAAAGTATTTAGGCTCCTAACTTCCTGGGCCTTAGATCTTTGGCATAAGTGGTAATGCTGCTGGTACCAAAGGTCACCAAATACTACATCTCCTTTTACAGACCTAGTGCAATGAAGTGGAAATCTTGCCAAGGAGGCAAGGAAGTGGAACAGGATCTGACATCCTATAAAAAGAGAGAGACAAGAGATCTCCAAAGGCTTGTCACTGTACTGACAGCCATGTTTATCCTGTTCTCATTCACCCATCTACCACCTTGTAACCCCCAAGTCCCTGGATTTTCCTGTCTGTATGGCAGAGCAATACTCTCCCTTAGAGATACCATATTCTCATGCTGTCTGATACTGTCATGGCATGTACAGAGAATTTCCATTGTGGAGAGTCTGTCATATGTGTTTAATTATGGCCCTTTTTTTTCCTTCCTCCCCATTGCCAGGCTACCTGGGCGCTGCTGGCCCTCGGCTGGATTTTTGTGCCTGTTTACATTGCTGCAGGAGTTGTCACAATGCCCGAGTACCTGAAGAAGAGATTTGGAGGACAGAGGATTCAAGTCTACATGTCCGTACTGTCCCTCATTCTCTATATATTCACCAAGATATCAGTATGTATCCCATTGGAAAGCAACATTGTGTCTACAGCAAGCTGGCTTCATAGACAGAGGCAGAGTAATCACTCTGTGAACCTTACAGTAACGTTACAAATAATTAAGGAACACATTATGCACCATGAAGAAAAGGAGTACTTGTGGCACCTTAGAGACTAACCAATTTATTTGAGCATGAGCTTTCGTGAGCTACAGCTCACTTCATCAGATGTTTACCGTGGAAACTGCAGCAGACTTTATATACACACAGAGAATATGAAACAATACCTCCTCCCACCCCACTGTCCTGCTGGTAATAGCTTTTCTAAAGTGATCAACAGGTGGGCCATTTCCAGCACAAATCCAGGTTTTCTCACCCTCCACCCCCCCCCCCACAAATTCACTCTCCTGCTGGTGCTAGCCCAAAGTGACAACTTTGGATGGGCTAGCACCAGCAGGAGAGTGAATTTGTGTGGGGGGGTGGAGGGTGAGAAAACCTGGATTTGTGCTGGAAATGGCCCAACCTGATGATCACTTTAGATAAGCTATTACCAGCAGGACAGTGGGATGGGAGGAGGTATTGTTTCATATTCTCTGTGTGTATATAAAGTCTGCTGCAGTTTCCACGGTAAACATCTGATGAAGTGAGCTGTAGCTCACGAAAGCTCATGCTCAAATAAATTGGTTAGTCTCTAAGGTGCCACAAGTACTCCTTTTCTTTTTGCGAATACAGACTAACACGGCTGTTCCTCTGAAACCTGTCATTATGCACCATAAATGCCCTCTTGCTTCCCCCATACTCCTTCCCATAGATCAGAAAAGATCCTCAGCTGGTATAAATTGGCTTAGCTCCAAACTGACTTCCATGTACACCAAAGTAATGTACACCGTCTGCGGAGCTGATCCATTGCATCTTGTGTTGATTAAATTCTTTGCAAAATAATCTTAGAGTAATAGTATTTCTATGATTATTTTCTTTACTGAAATTTCTAGTTTTAAGAATTGTATTTTAAGGAAACAGCTAGTGTTATCTCTAGTCCCTCCATCTTCACGAATTGCTTCTATTATTTCAATCTGTAAGATGAATGGGAAATGAATTCCACCTTAAGGCAAAGAAGCACAGCGTTCTTAAAGCGTTATTAGTTACAAGCCAGTAGCATTTTATGGCACATGAAGGAATATCAGCTTCTGATCATTTGCATGCTGCAAAGAAAGGAGTATATTCTCTGCTCAGTGCATTAACGGGAGTTACCTGTGCACCCGGAGGGAGGATTAGAGTGTGAAGTCTTAGGCACAGGAGATATTCATTACCCAGGGGACTAGCCAGTTCAAGGGACTGGTAACGGGAACTACAGTCTTTTGTCTCAAAGCCAATATCTCTAAGTTTACTTCCAGCCCACATCTGTAGTGACTAAGGCCCGGATCCTCACAGATCCTTCTGCCAGTGGAAGTTTGGAGCCTAAATACCTTTGAGAATCTGGGCCCAAATGCCCTTCTGGGCTGATGACTTCTGGTCAGCTTCTGTGAGAGGAGTTGCTGGCCTCCGTACAGTATGTCGTAGGTGCCATCAGCAGAGTAGGAGCTATTTGGTTAGCAGACTGGGCTGAGAGAAGTAGGAATGAATGGGTCATGGACACAGGGCTACGTTTTCACCCTAGAAGTGGTCCCTAAAGGCCAGGGGTGGACCAGACTGGTGGGGCAGTCTGGGTAAGCTTGCACTGCGGCTGCCTGTGTCATGCCTATTCCATAGGCAAATACAGAGCTTCAGTCTCTAGGGCTCTGGTTCTGTGGCATCAAAGGCCTCGCTCCAAGGTCCTGCCCTAAGGACTCTGGCACATGGAGCTCATATTCACCTCCCCATCGGAGGTTAACCACAGCCTGGTCACCTGCAGGCTCCTCTGCACAGCAGGGTACCAGATACTGGGAGGGAGGGAGCCTACAGCTACCCAAGGCTCATCACAGCTACAAGGTGGCTTTGGGGGAAGCAGTATTTTCCAATGCATTTTGGTTCAGTGGTGTGTGCTTAGTATTCACTGCTTATTCTCAGAGACCTCTCTTCTAAGGCTAATTCATACGCGTCTGACAGGCATGTCTGGTTCAGCTTATTGGTCTCAGAGGTGTTTTCTCTAAGGTAACACCTTTTGTTTTCAGAGTGTGTATTTAGTGGCTGGCTCGACAGCAGGAGGTTTGGTTATGAGGGGGATTTTTCATGCCGCACTTCCTGCTGGAAAGTAGGTTAATAACTTTGCTGCTCAGTTTCATAATCCTCCTGCTTGCCAGGAAGAGTGGAGAGCTGAGTGAGAGATGGGGTCAAAGTGTGTGGATGCAGTTCTCTTTATATTTCCTGCTGGGAAGACAAAGCTCATACTCCATTATGTACAGGAGGCTCTTCACACACCCCGCCAGCCGCCTCACCACTTTGTGTATCTGAGGGCTGTAAAGATCAGGCGGTCTAATGGAAGCTGGATTTTAGGGAGATGATTTGGGGACAGAGAGGAACACTCTCTTTACCATTCCATTATGTCTCGCTTTCCCATGGACAGTGCCTGCATCTTTCCACATCCCAGGTTTACAGATTTCTTTTGAGTTGATTAATACAGAACAAAACCTCCCCACTTGTTATGTGCCACCTTCTGTATTTATAATGGATGCATCTCAATTTTAATGCTGCTTTTTTTCAATCTGGCCTCATTTACTATCCCCCTCCACAAAGTAAAACCCAAGTAGCTTCTGCAGCTCTAGTTCAGATCTCCAGCCTGCATAAATAGGCCTAATGTTATTGAAGCCCTGATCTACACCAGTAAGGAGCTGACTAGGGTCCATTTTGAGATAGATAGGTTGAAGCACAAGACACTGGCTACTCACACATGGTCTGTCCAGCTGATAGTCCATCACTCTGACCATTAGATCATGTAGTGTCCCAAGCCCAGGGTGATACCAAGATGTTCTGTTTTAACAGATGCCGATGACCCCACCTACTAGAAAAGTGAGCTCAGACTAACCATTCACGACACCCACAGTGCTTGGGACCCTCCCTTGTTTCCCAGTGACTCATGCTCTTGTCAGTGCATTCATTTAGTTGCCCCTTCCAGTGCCAGAAGCCGTTTCCCACTTAGAGTGCAGGGAGTTCTGACCCTGTCTGAATGAAGTGCCAACCACTTACAACCCTCGCAGGCTGCTCTAAGTTGTGCTGTAATGGTTTCTGAAAGCCACTGCATGGATATAGAGCTGCTGAGGGACAGGCCAACCTGATCTCACCCCAGAAGGCCCCCCACACTAGGGGTATTAACCTGAAGGGGAGGGTTTTTGCTTGTCTCAGGCCTGGCACACGGAGCCACAGTGCAATACTGAATCAGGCCCAATGCTCTCCACAGCCCAATGCACCTTCTTGATCCTCTTGTGTCTGTCCTTTTCCCCTCTGTCTCCCCCTCCCTCGCTTTCAAAGCATCCTCCCTTCTGGTTGCCCATCTAATGGGTTTTGAGCCTTCCGGTGGGCTGGCGATTATGTCAGGGAAGTGCTGATAAATGCAACCCACTAGAGACTCAAATTCTCCTTGCTCTTATTCCAGACAGATATTTTCTCTGGAGCGCTGTTCATCCAAGTCTCCCTGGGCTGGAACCTTTACCTGTCCACCGTGATCTTGCTAGCCGTGACAGCTGTCTACACTATAGCTGGTAATGATACTGCCTTAAAAGCAGCACACTGATCTGGAGCCTGGTGAAGACTCGCTTCCCCTATGCATTTTACTTCTGTGCATTCTGGGCCCAATCCAAAGGCCATTGGAGTTAATGGACAGAATTCCATTGACTTTGAGCTTTGGATCAGGCTCCCTAGTAATGGACTTAAGGTGAAAAACCTTACGTGCAGATCAACAGGGCAATGCTAGGGCTCAGTTACGCCTCTCCAGGGCAGGACTGCACAAAGAGAGGGAGGGGAGGCAGCATGTGAAACAAGCATATAATAATAATAGTTATTAATTTTGCATGGCTCAGCCATTGCATGAGCCTTTGAACATTTGGCTCCAAGAAGCAAAGACTTCTCCTGCTCTTCCTGCCTCCCCAAGTTGGAAGTCAGTCTTTGAAGAGCTCTAGGAACAGATAATTTCTGCAGGGTGCTTCTGAGGTTACAGAAGGCTCCTTGGTCCCCATAGAAGGCTGAAAACTCCTATCCCGACCCTAGCCCAAGTGTTTGCATCATTTGCTGGTCCTTTGATGATGGTCTAGTGGGTAGGGCACCAGACTGTGCCTCTGGAGACCTGGCTTCCCAGCTCAGCCACCAACTCCTGGTGTGACTGTGGGCAAGGGACTTAATATGTGCCTCAGTTCCCCTCCGGTAAATTGGAGATGATGTTCCTGTGCTTCACAGAGGTGTTGTGGGACTCAGATCCATTAGTGACTATGAGGTGGTCAGGCAGTGCGATAATTGGGGCCAGATAAATACCAACCTAGGATTCTCCTGGTTGCCCCTTTCAGAATGCCAGAACTGAGACCTAGGAAGCAGTCCTCATAGGGGGGAGAGCTCCCCCACAGGTAACACAGAAGAGTTGGCCATTTATATAAATATGGTGACCTGCTTACTCTGTGATTGTAGCCATGTTGGTCGAAGGATGTGATAGGTGAGGTAATATCTGTAACTGACCAAATTCTGTTGGAAGGATATTACCTCACCCTTTGGCTCTCTCTTACTCTGTTGTTTGCCATTCTCCCTACAGGTGGTTTAACGGCTGTGATGTACACAGATGTGCTGCAGACTGTGATCATGGTACTCGGGGCTTCGGTTCTCGCCTTTATAGGTAAGAGGAACGAGGGACTGTGTTACCTACAGTCTGAGCCAAACAAGGTGTTGAACGCCTTTTGCTCCCTTTGGGAGTTGACGGAGCAGCTTGCTGGATCAGATCCTCAGAGTCAAACTCTGCTCTGGTGCCCCTTAACTCCTTTGAGTTTCAGCCATCTCTTCTGCTTTCCTCTCGTGGAGTTACTCTGGATTTACAAGGGAATCATTGGAAACAAAAACGGACCCTAAGCACTTTGCTCTAAGCCCTGCCTACCAAACAGTAACCCAAATGCTGCCTCCCGTGGTTTCATGTTTTCCTGCTGAGGCTCTTCCAAAGGGTTTTGATCAGCGACTCTGGCTTCCAGGGGCACTTTCTTGCCAGTCCGGGTAATGATGCCACTGCTAAGGGAATTCTGCGGTGCTGTTGCTGTCTCCCCCAGAATGCACTGCAGAATTCCACAGATCCCATTCGCATCCCAGCGTTTCTGGGTGCAGTCCTGCTACCCCCATCACACACGCCAACTGGGCCACGAAAACCTATGTGAGAGGACAGCAAGGAAGAGAGGAGGGGGAAAAAAGCGAGGAGGGGAGAGAACAAGATGGATGAAAGACCTTGTAGCAGGGCATCAAACCTAAACCACTGCCTGCTTCCTTCTCAGGGTTTGAAAAAGTCGGCTGGTTTGAAGGACTTAAAGAGAAATACAGCACCATGATACCCAGTGTCATCGTCCCAAACACCACCTGTCACCTCCCACGCGCTGACGCCTTCCACATGCTCAGGAACCCTGTCACTGGGGACATTCCTTGGCCTGGGCTTATCTTCGGCCTCTCTGTGCTGGCTACTTGGTGTTGGTGCACTGATCAGGTAAAGTAAGTCTCTTTTCTCTCTCTCTCTCTCTCTTCTCCCCTTCCGCCTTTCATCCCAGTATCTTCCTTTCCAGGCTGCTGCACTGTTCGCAGAGTCAGTAAAATGATGAATGTGTGTGTCCGTCTGTCTGTCTGTCTGTCTTTGGGGGGCCACCGCCTCTGCCCATTCTTTCCGCTACTCAAGCTTGTGCAGCTCAATGCTTCTGAGTGTTGGGGGTAGGGGGCTTGTTTTGATGGTGGGGAGCAGCTATCATCACCATGAAGTGATGCCTGTGAAGGACAAGGGAAAATTTCCTGCAATCAGACCCTCGCTGGTGTCAGCAAGAGCGAACCATGCAACAGAGTTCTGCAGTGCAGATCAGAGAGGAGAATTTTCCCATAGGCTTGCACAGTGCTTTGGGATCCTTTGAGATGAAAGTATCCTGCATTAGATGATGACTCTGTTTTCTCTCTGCAGGGTTTTCTTTTAACACTTTCCATTTTTATGCTGACGGCAGGTTATAGTACAAAGGTCTCTCTCTGCCAAGAACCTCTCCCATGCCAAGGGTGGATCAGTGCTGGCGGGTTATTTGAAAATGCTCTCGATGTTTTTCATTGTCATGCCTGGTATGATCAGCAGAGCTCTTTACCCAGGTAAGCTGCTGTTCCTTACAGTTGGACTGTTCGTGGGTTGTGAATACAATGTCCTTGTGTCAGTGCAGACCTGCCAGAGCTCAGCAATCTTGTCCCAAGGTTTATCTCCAGATAGTGCTCACATCCGTTAGCTATTCAGATGGAGCTTCCCTGCCCCTGACTCCACTTCCAGGTTTGGGGTGCTGCTTTAGGACACCTGTGGCAGAAGCCATTGGGAAAGTTGCAAGGGGCAGGTGTCAGAATGCCATCTTGTGGACACTGCATGTATCTAATAGGAGACAAAAGGGAGTAGGCTAGAGAGAGACATGGAGACATAGGGTATGTTTAGACTGAACCCTAAGCCCAGGCTCTGACTCAGGTTTGAGCCAACTCCCCCTTCCATCCACACACAAATCTGTCTGACTCAGGTCAAGAAGTACTCAGGACCCGGGTCCTATAAACCTCCTACTGGGGGTGGATCAGAGCCCAAATCCTGCTGTGACTTGGGTCCTAGCCCTGTCAATTTGTAGTGTGGAGGCAGGTAAAGCCGCAAACCCAAGTCTGAAGGTCTACATAATGCAGTATGGACATGTCAGCACATCCAGCAACTGTAAGCCCAGGTTTACAATGCAGTGTGGGTGCTCAAGCATGGGCTTGGAAACACTGAGTCCACAAGCCCAGGTCCCACAGACCTGAGTTTACAATGCAGTGTAGACAGACCCATACAGACTTTAGGGGCAGGTCTTTGAGTCAGACATGGAATCTGGTTTGTTCCATTATGACGTTGATGTAATAGTAAAAAGTATTTCACCTGAGTCACCCTCTTCCTCCCGCTTTGTCATGGGTTCTGCAGGGTAGGCAACTGTGAGTCCTCAGATTCTCACTGTTGCTTTGGATAGGCTTGCTGTGAATGCACTAGGTGAAGGGGGAGCCAAGCTGGGCTGCAGTGCATGTTTCCTCTGTCCTCCTCTAGTGATGGCTGGGCCACAAAGAGAGATGGATGAGCTGGCTCTTTTAGCATAGTCAGTCAAGACTCATGCGTTTAGAACCAGATGTCCCAGGTTCAATCCCAGCTGCCACCAACCCATCTAGGGGTGAAGCATTCCATCTTCTCTGAGCCAAGTTTGCAGTGTGTCATCATGAGGCTCCACCTTTATTTGGGGACCCAAAATGTTCTTTGGCTCCCATTGCTATAACTTGGAAAACTCTGTTCTTGCTGTTTTACTGACTTATATTAAATAATAAGGTATCAAGAAATCCACTCCTTTAAGACAGTTTCCAATAGCTGGAGTAGATATGCCACAAAGGAGGTTTAAGCTGGCTTGTTCGGTTTCTAATCTTTCCTCTCTGCTACAGATGAAGTGGGATGTGTGGACCCGAAAGTCTGTGAAACCGTCTGCGGAGCTAAAGTGGGTTGTTCTAACATTGCCTATCCTAAGCTCGTAATGGGACTCATGCCTGTAGGTGAGAAAGCCGTATTCCAAGGGGTATGGGCTTGTACTAGTGCTGAACAGCTGAGTCCTTGGAATGAAGTGGCCTTTTGAGCTATCCAAATGAGGAACTAATGCCCTGCAACTATCAGTTGGATTGGTAAACAAATTAAAAGATAGCAAAGTTTTCTTTTCCATTATGTAGCAGGCAAGTGTGTATGTGTGTGTTTGACAAACAGATGGATAAATAGATAGATAAATAGAAGTAGCCGCACTGAACGGAAAAGAATAAAGTGTTCGCTATGGCAAAATATCAAAAGAAACCAAAAAACCCAACATATTTTTCAAAAAATGTTATGGAAATTTTCCAATTTTTCAACTAAAGTTTTTAGTTTTCACATTTTTAATTGAAAGATTAAAATTCTAAAGAAAAAAAATGTTCCTGGAATTTTTTTATTTTGAATAAAGGAATAAAAGAATTTGACCTTAAACAATTTTGACCTTTATATTTATGACTGGCTGTCATAAATATAAAGGGAAGGGTAACCACCTTTCTGTATACAGTGCTATAAAATCCCTCCTGGCCAGCGGCAACATCCTGTTACCTGTAAAGGGTTAAGAAGCTCAGCTAACCTGGCTGGCACCTGACCCAAAGGACCAATAAGGGGACAAGATACTTTCAAATCTTGGGGCGGGGGAAAGGCTTTTGTTTATGCTCTTTGTTTACGTGGTTATTCTCTCTTGGGACTGAGAGAGGCCAGACAGCAATCCATCTTCTCCAACCCATCCTAATCCAAGTCTCCAATATTGCAACCAGTAGAGGTAAACCAGGCAAGAGAGATTAGTTTATCTTTTGTTTTATGTGAATTTTCCCTGTGTTAAGAGGGAGGTTTATTCCTGTTTTCTGTAACTTTAAGGTTTTGCCCAGAGAGGGATCCTCTGTGTTTTAAATCTGAATACCCTGTAAAGTATTTTCCACCCTGATTTTACAGAGATGATTCTTTTACCTTTCTTTTTTTTTAATAAAATTCTTCTTTTAAGAACCTGACTGATTTTTCCATTGTTCCAAGATCCAGGGGTTTGGGTCTTTGATGATTTTGTAATAAATTGGTTAGGATATTATTCTCAAGCCTCCCCAGGAAAGGGGGTGTGTAGGGCTTGGGGGGTATATTTTGGGGGAAGACGTCTCCAAGTGGGCTCTTTCCCTGTTCTTTGTTTAAAACGCTTGGTGGTGGCAGCATACTGGTTAAGAAGAAGGCAAAGTTTGTACCTTGGGGAAGTTTTTAACCTAAGCTGGTAAGAATAAGCTTAGGGAGTCTTTCATGCGGGTCCCCACACCTGTACCCTAGAGTTCAGAGTGGGGAAGGAACCCTGACACTAGTTCTAAAAAGTCAAGATGGGCCTGGACCAGAGCCACAGATCCAAAGAGCTCTCTGGACTCTGTTTATGTTAATCTGCAGCACATGATGCAGGAGCTAAAAGACCAACGATCTGAACCAAATTTTCCTTGTTGGTTTCCCAGGACTACGGGGTTTGATGATAGCTGTGATGATGGCAGCCCTGATGAGTTCCCTCACCTCGATCTTCAACAGCAGCAGCACGCTCTTCGCCATAGATATCTGGCAGCGGATCCGCAAGAAAGCCACGGAGCAGGAGCTCATGATTGTTGGCAGGTCCTCTCACTTCCTTATGGCTTCACTGAGTGTTTTAGGCAGAGACCATTTTTTGCTGTTATTTTGATGGCAGGTCTTAAACTCTCCAAAATGTCCTAATCTGGGCTCCGGGATTCATAGATTCCAAGTCCAGGAGAGACCACTGTGATCATCTCATCTGACCTCCTATACAGCACAGGCCAAAGAACTGCCCTGAATCAATTCTTATTTGAACAAGAGTGTGTCTTTTAGAGGGAGGGAAAAAACAGGTGAAAATTAACATGCATATTAATGAAAAAAGTAAAACCTGAGTTGAGTTATGTTTCCCAACTTTACCTGGAGTAGATTCAATTACATACACAGGCTCAATTTGCCACTGAACTGCAGAGACTATTTCTTCTGTGTTCTCTAAATGTGTCATAGACTCCTGTCCTAAACACAATCCATAGTGAAATCATGGCACCCTCTATTGGCAGATGCCAATACTGCATTACACCAAGGCTGTAAAACAGTTCCCTTCCCACTAACACTGTTAATAATAATCTGCAGGTCTGTAGAGCCTTTTATCTGAGGTCACACATATTAACACATCAAGTAAGCTTCAAAACATCCCTGTGAGTTAGGTGAAGGATAGAGAGGGGCGAAAGCAACATGGCACACCAGCTTAAGGCAGAAATGAAGGAGGATATTGTATGCCGCTGAAACTTCGGTGGGAATTTTATTAAGTAGGAGGTAATGACTTTGTTGGAATTTGGTGAAGGCACTCAACACCTCTACTCTTCTGAAAGGTGGCTGTGGGATTTTCATGATCACAAGTTGTCAGGGTCTCTGTCTTATCCAAGAGAGAGTGCCTCCAGCAGTTCTCACTAAAACCATGTCAGGCTACTGGGGCAGTAATGGGTCAGCTAGCCCTGAGATTGCCAGGCACCGAACCACCTGTACCACTTCTTGCAGCACTCTGGATTCTCCTCGGATCTCTCCCATTCAGGTGCTTACAAGGCCCCACACAGCTTAATTTGTGCACTCTGACCAGATCTCAGCAAAGGGTTGTTAGCCATCCTCCTTAGGAGAGTGAAATTTACTTCCTGCTTGCAATTACCAGGAGAAACCTGTCCTAGATTTCACTTCAGATGAGGAATTCACTCAGGGTGCACAATGATTTTCCCTAGAATTCATTGAAAACCCAAGGAAGCTTCTCTTAATTGGGGATTGCATTTCCAGGTGGATTCTAAAGCATGCAGAGCTAATACTCTTTGTTCCAATCTCCGGTCTTCCAGAGTGTTTGTTCTCATCCTCATTGTCATCAGTATTCTCTGGATTCCCATCATTCAGATGTCCAACAGCGGTCAGCTCTTTGACTACATTCAGTCCATAACCAGTTATCTGGCCCCACCAATTACTGCCCTCTTCGTCCTGGCAATCTTCTGCAAGAGGATCAATGAGCCCGTAAGTGAGGAATCAGTGACCGGGCCAGTCTGAATAGTAGTACCACCTCAGGGTGGGGGTGGGGGTGGGTGTCCGGGTTCTTAGTAAACACTCAAGTGGATTGTTGCTTACCCCTAACTGGAAAAATTAGAAATCAGAGGAGTTAGAACTGGTTCCAGTCATTTGGGATTAACAATAAAATGATTTTAAACAGGAAATTTCACAGGACAGGATGGTTGGGGGACTGGGACTGATCTATAGAACCTTTCATCTCTAGGCCACCCATTCAAACACAGCCCAGCAAAGCTGTGACTATCACCAAGTGGCTTAGTGGCATGAGTTAGTGGGCCTTACGCCTGTTTCTGTTGGATGGGTGTCAGCTTCACAGAAGCCACCACAACTCGGGCTAATTGGCAGCCTCGGCAGAGGGGCCATGGAAACTCAACCAGCTTTGTACTCCTAGAAGTGGTCCCTCTAGGTCTAAGTCAGTGAGGGGCAAACTTGCACTCCCATTGTCTGTGCTGTAACTGCTCTAAGTACAGAGAGGGCCTTAGGCCTAGATCTTCAAAGGTACCCAGGTTCCTAAATCCCATAACTTTGAGGATCTGGCCGTAGTCTCTAGGAGACAGATCCTCAGCTGGTGAAACTTGTTCTAGCTCCATTGAAGTCTGTCCATCCAGCACCTTTCACGAGCTCGAAATTCATTTATAAAACACCTACCATGTTTGGCTTCCCTCCAGTCCAATATGCAGAGGTGGAGACTCAAACTTCTACCGTTCCCTTGTGTCTCTCTGTGCCCTCTTCTTTCCACTGTCAGCAAGAAGGGGGAGCATAACTGAGGCTGTTTAATTCCATTGTTTTGAAACTTCCACAGGAGTCTGGTTCTGCTCCAGACACACGCTCAGCCTTTGAGGCAGGAGAAACCCCATAAAGGATTTCCAACTCTATTTCCGACCCTAGCTCAGGGTCCCAATTATTTCTGGAAAATCAGACCTTTTTGCTGGACCCCTTGAAAACAAGATGGAAGTGAAAATTAACCCTCCCTCCCTTTTCCAGTGACAGCCCCATATGAAGCTCAAACCATCACAGAACATAGAATATCAGGGTTGGAAGGGACCTCAGGAGGTCATCTAGTCCAACCACCTGCTCAAAGCAGGACCAATCCCCAACTAAATCATGCCAGTCAGGGCTTTGTCAAGCCTGATCTTAAAAACTTTTAAGGAAGGTTTCTTTCTAACCTTTCTTATGGTTTGGTCTCTCCCCCTTTATGGTGTGGCCAGAATCAAATGTCTCCCCCTGGGAAGGACTGCAGAGTTACCCCTGTTTCTGAAGCATGTGGGGCGGACACTGTCTGAGACACACCATTGGACTAGATGGACCAATGGGTCCCAATCCTGCAATGAGATGAACCTCAGTGGAACCTTGCACCCACAGAGAGCCTCACTGAAATCAATGGAAGGACCTTAGCTCAGTCGGGTCTGATGTGTCTGTCTTGCAGTTGGGGCGGGGGGGGGATGTGTGGATTACAAGTTCTGAGGGCCATTAAAGGTATCGAGCAAGAATGAATTCCCCTCCCTTGCTGTCCTGCTCTGTTGACTCCATCCAGGAGAGAAGGGCTCATTCCCAGAAAGGGACTATACAAACCCCACACACAAAGATGCTTTCAATGATCCCTCACTTCCTTATGCGTCTCTTCCCATGTTTTCTTCACAGGGTGCTTTCTGGGGCCTCATGTTCGGGCTGGTAGTAGGTGGCATTCGAATGATCATGGAGTTTTCCTATGGGGTGCCCTCCTGTGGCGAGGAGGACCCAAGACCAGCTGTCCTAAAGGATGTACACTACCTGTACTTTGCCCTCATTCTCTGCGTGCTCACTGCCATCGCCATTATCCTGATTAGTCTCTGCACCCCACCAATCCCAGAGGAAAAGGTAAGCGGCTCTCCAGTTCAAATCTTGCAAGCCTCTCCCCATCATAGGGTCCAAGAGGACTCTCTGATCTGTACAGGCCTGTCTCTCCTATTGCTGAGGTCTCACGGCCTATAATGCACGTCTACAAAGAAGCACCTTTCCCAAGCCCTTCTGTTTTCCAGGGCTCAGAGAATTAACACTGCCTGGGGCTCAATGAACTATTGCAATGGAGTGTGAGTTCTCATGCTGTGTGTACAGCTCTGCACACACACACCGCAGCACATCATATCTGGGAGAGAAGGAAAAGAAGTGTGTGTGTGTGGGGGGGGGGGATCATATTACAGTGTGTTGCTGAGAAGCAATTAAATGGATCTGATTGAAGCTTCTGCTCTATTTCAGCAAAGCCCCCATCAATCTTGCAAGCAAACAAGATTAATATCTTTGCAACACTGGCATTTAGAGAAATAACATTCCAGCCCAATGTGATCTAAATTACATTTAACAACATAGTGTCACGGGACAGAAGAAAGCAACTTTCTTTTACTTACTGTATTAAAACAGAACTGTGCATAAAGGTTAAGGTTTTATTGAGTGTCAGCTTAAAGAGATACTGTCAAGTAGTTTAGGGTCTAAGGATGTTTGGTTTACTGAGTGTTTGCATAAAAATTGAGCTCAGGAAAAGGAAAAAAAATATCAAGTGCAACCATGTTCCATGAGTGTTTTTTTAAACGAACTTCTGAATGGGGTCTGGGATATAGAGATTATCTGGGCCACTTGTAGCCCTGGTGTATCTCCATTGTCTTCAATGGAGTTAAGTGGGGGTGAATTTGATCCCATGTGGAGGAGGATAAAATGACCTTCATAGATGCCAAGGCCAGAAGGGACCACTGTAACCTCCTGTAGACCGCAGTCCATAGAACTTCCCCAAAATAATTCCGAGAGCAGATCTTTTAGAAAAACATCCAATCTTGATTTCAAAGTGGTCAGTGTTGAAGAATCCACCCTTCTTTTCTCCATGCCTGAGTGTAAATCCTGCCAGGAATTATGGCAATTGTGTATGAGCAGCGAGTGAATCAACCCGATGGGCTAAGCGGTAACCTTACAATCTGCCCCGAGTAAGGGGCGGTGCCCTGAGGCAGGAGCAGAGCAGAGCAAGAATGGAGCCCCAGGGAACACAGGGGCTGGCAGGGGCCATTTCTAGCTCTAGGGGACATACCCACACTAGTTAGCGCACTAGAGCTAGAAGGGCAGCTGCGGCAGGGCAAGCAGCAGGAGGGACTGACCGCCCAGGTACATCCCTACAGCCTTGGATGGGATTGTACTTGGAGAGGCTAGATCCTGCTGGCACAGTTACACTTCTATTTTTAGCGTGTCGTCTCTGGCAGAGCTAGCGCAGGTAAGTCTCCTCCATCTCCAGCGCAGCTCTACACTCTGAGTCCCAATTCCTTCCTGTCCCTCACTTCCTCACCCCTTTGCTCTGGAGCCCTTGTGGTGGCTCCCCATTGTGCACCTGGCCAGCTACTCTGGCCGGTGAGTAAGGGGGCAGTGCAGACAGGGCTCTTCCTTCACTGCCCCACTCAACCCTTTTGCTCACCGTGGGAATCTAGGCTGCAGCCAGTATAACAATGAGTTGGGGAATTAGCGGGGCCTCTGCCTGGCTGGGTCAGGGCTGTGACACTCAATCCCTAACTCGTTTCATTCTCATCTCCACTGACCTCCCCTGGGAAAGTGAATCTTCCACCCAGTGCCTCCTCCGATCCCATGACATGGCCCTTGTGACATTCCCAGAGGTTTGAGTCAGCGGGGCTTGGCCAGGGCAGTCCGGTTGGGTTTCACTAGGATGGGTGGTGGCCCAACAGCCCTGCACAGAGTCGACTGCTTCCCTACATTATCACACCCTGGTGCTTCAGGGGTATTCAGAAGGGAGCTTTTTCCCTGTCAGAGTCAGTCTGTGGGCTATGTGCTGGAACTGGGCAGGTGGCATGGGAAGTGTCGATAGAGATGGAATTGCCTGTTAAGTGCTCACTGAGCTGAGACCACTGCCTGGACATAGGCCATAGAGGAGTATTCAGATGATAGTGACTTTTGGTTACTGCAACCTGGCTTCAGGGAGATAGATTCTGCAGACTAAATAGGCTGGCCAGGCCCAGCAGCTGGGGGACCCTGCAGCTACCAGCTGCCCAGGCGAGGGCACCCCGCAGCAGCCCAGCCCCAGGGGCAGGGGAACCCTGGAGCTCCCAGGCATTGCATCAGAGGGGGACCCGGGAGCCCCAACAGCAGTGGGTGCTGACCCCACCTCTCCCTTTTGTCAGCAATATTTTTAGTGAAAGTCAGGGACCGGTCATGGGCTGCCATGAATTTTTGTTTATTTCCCGTGACCGGTCCCTGACTTTTACTAAAAATATCCGTGACAAAAACTTAGCCTTAATTATATAGCTTAACGTGCTTTTATTCAGATTCTTAATTTGGACATTATGTTAGAAAATGATGCATTTTTTATTTGCTAGATGATGCTTCATTTTTTACTTGTGTTTTGTGTCAAACTCTATTTGGATGGAACTTCAAATTCAGTTAAAATGCTCCAAACCAGCATTTTAAATTTTGTATTATTATTAATTTGTATTATAATGATATTTTATTTGTTATTTATTATTAAATACAGCTACCTTACATGTGCTGGATGCATAGGAAAAATGTTTTTCAAAACATGGTTTTGCATTTAAAACTAACTGCTTTATTCAACAAAGGCTGCATTATCGGTAGTTAGGGAACTGAACTGATTATTTCTTGCCACCGTATCCTTTAAGATTTTAGAACTAGCTGATCTGGTCCTCTCACACTTAGATTTTATTCACTGATTGAAAGAGACACACAGGTTTTCCTTGGTTTCTTAACTTTGATTGAACCAGTCACTGAACTGAGCTAGCTGAATAAACTGAGATGAAGAAAATATTCTCCCTGCATTTGTAGAAAAGGCTACAGCTGTCAAAAGTTGGTTTCGCACTTCATACGCTTGTTCCAGGTTCTTAGCCAGTGACGTCCACCAGACATGCTTTAAAAGCTGGCACGTATACGACTCAATGTTATTATTTTTTGCATTCAATTTAAACGTTTTAATAGAGTCATGACAAATTTTGGCCTTAACACAGGTTGTCATTATTTCAAATTTCGTTTTAAATAGGTCGGTTTTAAAAAAAATAAAAATAAATGTATATTTAATTTAAATTAAAAAACAATTTGGAAACCTGGATTTTTAAAAATATTTTATTTAAACATTGATTTTTTTTATGCCCCCTGCCTGGCATGGGTTTGAACTGATAACATTTTTTAATGTTTTTTAATGTTTTTAATAAAGTAAATACTAATGGAAACTGTGTGATCATGGGAGACTTTAACTTCCCAGATATAGACTGGAGGATGAGTGCTAGTAATAACAATAGGGCTCAGCTTTTCCTAGATGTGACAGCTGATGGATTCCTTCAGCAAGTAGTTGCTGAACCGACTAGAGGGGATGCCATTTTAGATTTGGTTTTGGTGAGTAGTGAGGACCTCATAGAAGAAATGGTTGTAGGGGATAATCTTGGCTCAAGTATCATGAGCTAATTCAGTTCAAACTGAATGGAAGGATTAATAAAAATAAATCTGCAGCTAGGGTTTTTGATTTCAAAAGGGCTGACTTTCAAAAATTAAGGAAATTAGTTAGGGAAGTGGATTGGACTGAAGAATTTATGGATCTAAAGGTAGAGGAGGCCTGGGATTATTTTAAATCAAAGCTGCAGAAGCTATCGGAAGCCTGCATCCCAAGTAAGGGGAAAAAATTCATAGGCAGGAGTTGCAGACCAAGCTGGATGAGCAAGCAACTCAGAGAGGTGATTAAGAAAAAGCAGAAAGCATATAGGGAGTGGAAGAAGGGAGGGATCAGCAAGGAAAGCTACCTTATTGAGGTCAGAACATGTAGGGATAAAGTGAGACAGGCTAAAAGTCAAGTAGAGTTGGACCTTGCAAAGGGAATTAAAACCAATAGTAAAAGGTTCTATAGTCATATAAATAAGAAGAAAACAAAGAAAGAAGAAGTGGGACCGCTAAACACTGAGGATGGAGTGGAGGTCAAGGATAATCTAGGCATGGCCCAATTTTTAATGAATCTGTAAACTCAGGGGTTGTACCGTATGATTGGAGAATTGCTAACATAGTTCCTATTTTTAAGAAAGGGAAAAAAAGTGATCCGGGTAATTATAGGCCTGTTAGTTTGACATCTGTAGTATGCAAAGTCTTGAAAAAAATTTTGAAGGAGAAGGTAGTTAAGGACATTGAAGTCAATGGTAAATGGGACAAAATACAACATGGTTTTACAAAAGGTAGATCGTGCCAAACCAACCTGATCTCCTTCTTTTAGAAAAAAGAAAAGGAGTACTTGTGGCACCTTAGAGACTAACCAATTTATTTGAGCATAAGCTTTCGTGAGCTTAATCAAGGTGGGCCATTTCCTGGGGTGGGGGGGGGGTGAGATTTGTACTGGAAATGGCCCACCTTGATTGTCGTACACATTGTGGGGAGAGTGGTCACTTTGGATAAGCTATTACCAGCAGGAGAGTGAGTTTGTGTGTGTGGTTTTTGGGAGGGGGGTGAGGGAGTGAGAGAACCTGGATTTATGCAGGAAATGGCCCACCTTGATTATCATACACATTGTGAAGAGAGTGGTCACTTTGGATGGGCTATTACCAGCAGGAGAGTGAGTTTGTGTGGGGGGAGGGGGGGGAGGGTGAGAAAACCTGGATTTGTGCTGGAAATGGCCCAACTTGATGATCACTTTAGAGAAGGAGAGGGATACCCTACAGGAGGATCTGGATGACCTTGTAAACTGGAGTAATAGCAATAGGATGAAATTTAATAGTGAGAAGTGTAAGGTCATGCATTTAGGGATTAATAACAAGACTTTTAGTTATGAGCTAGGGACGCATCAATTAGAAGTAACGGAAGAGGAAAAGGACCTTGGAGTATTGGTTGATCATCGGATGACT